CTGGACTTGCCTGCAGTTGCACCAGAAGTTGGGGCAAAACCCAGCATCAATCCTGTGTTCCCCTATGCCTCAACCCACACCTGCAGCCAAGGTGTGACCAAATCCCTTGAACAAGGAGGATCAGTGCAGTTTATTTCATCATAAATTTCACTACATCTGAAGCTTGTGGAGTTTCCTCCTCCTCAGGCTTTTACTTCCTTTAATCCAAAGAGACGTGGCTGGCACCAGCTACGCAGGCAGGAGCTGAGCTGGGTGTGTGCTGCTTTCCCATCTGCAGGCTGGGAAACCAACGCTCCCACATGGAGCTGCTCAGGGGCAGGAAGGAGGGAGCAGGGCTCTTTGGGAAGGAAGTTACAAGCAGCCTGAACACGTTGGTGTTTTTATCCAGCTGTCTTTGTACCTGGCCCCACAATGATTTTTTGATTTAAAAAGCCTCAGATTCAAGGATATTTCCAGTTTCAGAGGCTGTTCAGTTAAACAAGCACTGGCCACGCGCCCAAACATTTTACTAGTTTTTGCTATTATGTCACAACATCAGCCAAAAAAAAGATGCTTGAAAAAAGAGAAAGACACAAACTGAAACACTCCTTCAGTCTGTAGGCTTTGCAGTCCACTGGGCACTCCCAAGGACAGCAGCAGTTCACTGATCAAGTGATGTTAAACTGTCTGGACTCTTTGTAAGAGCCCAAGAAACTGTCCTGACTACAACTCCATAAGCCTGCAGCAAAGAGAAATGCTGAGCAAACAAGAAGAACAATATGTTCATTTTCTTTATGCAGAACAGGATTCAAATTACCTATTTTCCAATATGTATTTTGAAGAGTGGGATCACTTCAGCCCCTCCATATTTGCTGAAAAGCTTTCCAGCAAAGTACAAGGTAAATACAAGAGAGCATTTTCATGCATTTCCTTTAAAACAGTCCTCTTAGTCCTACTTTTTTTCCTGTAACCAACATCACCTACCAATTTATCAAAACATAACAACCTGCAATAAGCAAGTTCTGGTTATTACAACCTTTTGGTTGCAATCTGAATGCTATATTAGGAAACAATAAATTGCAGGATGGTACAAGGACTCTGCCCTGAGGATGGGCCCAACTCCATGTGTGTATTCTCCTCCAGGAAGAAGTCCATAGCCTTGGCCATCAGGCCCCTTGTCCTGCCTCCCATTTCAGAGTATCTCCACTGGCCAACGTGGTGCTCATGCTTTCAGGGGCCACCCATTACCTGCAAGTTATCCTGATGGAAAGACACTGCAGGCTTCAGCCAGGTAGACATTTTTTGAGAACTGCACCTTGCACTGGAGCAGTACTGCACTGTACTGACAGCCTTTTGACTTCACTGCCTACTTGAGACCAAGGAGAGACATCAGCTCCCTCTGTGCACTTACACCTCCTCACCCTGTATGGTCTGTATATTGCAGGCCCTTCCTTCACTCACTTTGATTGCTTTTTAAAATGTGCACAGGGCAATTCCAAGTGTGAGGTACACCTGCTCTAACTCCGACAGTTGTGCTTTCCTTACAGATTTGCAGTATTAATCAGAATCATCCTTGTTTTTTTCTCAAGATTGAATGGCTTTATACAATCAAAAAGTGCCAAAGTCTTACAGAAATCAAGTCTTTCACTCATGACTGTTTAAATAATAACTTCAGTCTACAGCTTGGTTTCAATGTCTACGTGCCTTACGAAGATGCCTTCAATTTTAAAGGTATCAGGTATGACTGATATCTAACTCTCAGGTGTCTGACGGGCCTCATAAAGCTGTCTGCCTTCAATTCAAACCCACTCACACTCCTGCATGCAGTTTTTAAGGTCCAGATAAGGATGCCTAGCTTTCCATTAGGGAGCTGTTAGTTCAGAGCAGCAGTCTGAACAGAAGGAACAAACTACTTCAGTAAGCGACACATTCTTCTGACTTAGGGGTCAGAGGCAAGAGGGAGCCAAGGCCAAGGATCCTGGCCATAAAAAACTTGGGCACAAGCAATGCAATCACACAAGCAAGAAACTGAACCTCCTGCCCCAATAATACTGCTAACTGCCTTAGCCATGGCAAGCTCTCTCCATGCCACAAGAGCAGGGAAGGCTACACAAAGCCCAATAGGGTGTTACTCCAACAGGCACCATTCTCACCACTGCTGAGCAGATTATGGCAACACCATCTTAGACAAACATGGCAGTGTGCACCACCATTTTAAGTATTTTGAAGGTTGTGTAGGAATTGCTTACTTATTGAAAAGTAATAAGTGTATTGACTCTGTGGGTGTGCTTCTACCTATCCCATGTGCTGAATAAATAGGCATTTAGATTCCACAACAGTGTGAATTAAAATTATGGCACTAAGTCTCTAAATATAAGAAGCAGCACAGGTTAGCCCAAGACACTTATTAAAAATCAGGCATATACACTTTGAGGGTTCTTCATTCACACTTTCAAATGAATGGGGAAATGTTCACTTTGGAACTTTTTGTTTGAAAGAAACCCTTTTCATGGCTAACTCAGCCTGGGCCAGCTCCTCACCAAACAGCCTGTGCAGCTCTCCTGTGCATACAGCAGGTACTAAACCACCTGATGTTCAGTCTGATTTGCTCCAGGAAATCCAGAACTTGTCACAGAGCCTGAAGTGCTTTGTTTCCATGTGTGCAGACAACATGGCCATAGGTATAAGCAAATACTGTTGTCTTCAGTTATGTATTTCCAACTTCCAGAGGAAGATTTGGATGTTTCACAAACCATACAATTTTATCTCTCCTTCTTCTGACCCTCCTCACGTTCTCTCTCCCACGCACACATGCATACATACAAGTGTCAGCCACTTGTTCCGATGGATTTAGCCTAGTTTGGATCAAAGCTTCCTCTACTTCATTTAACAGATTTGCTCAGATGGAAGGTCTCAGGGGAGAAATAATGTTAGTAAGAAGGGGCTTTTCAGCACTGAGTATGTAGGTCATTGGACTTTAAAATAAATTAGAGAATAGTTTATCTATTAAACAAGCCTCACAGTACATATTTCATGAAGCTATACTTAATTATAGGCTAATGTGCACCACAGAGCTACCACGAAGAAAGATTAAGCAGTGGCCCATAATGCAGTGATTAATACCATTATTAGCTGGCTGGCACACAGCATCTATTATTTGGTACCATCAGGAGCAACAACAGACCTCCAGTTTTCAATGCTGGCACTTCTGTGAAATGCAACAAACCCAAACCTTTCCAGAGAGAAAAACACATGCCTCTCTGTACCTCAGAGGCAGCAGGGGGGATGCAAGGAGGTGAGAGTAGACTTGAATTTCCACTCCAAGTGCCCTTTACAGACTTTGCTTCTCCACAATGGATATGTGGGAATATCCCACCCCTTCTACTGTGCAGTGCAATACTGACTGCCTAAGCCTCTCTCCTTAATAGCCTGAACAGTCCCTGATGTGTGAGGGGAGCTCGATTTGAGTTGGAATTAACAGCTGAGGACAAGGAAAGGTAAGTGTGTATCTACACTCTTCTGCTATAGTGATGGCTCCTGTGGACATGATGCACAGTATGTATGACCACTGGTCTTCGGTATTAGGGTGCTGCTGAATAACAAAATACTGTTGTGAGATGAACAAATCTTTTATGGATGCTGTCCGTAACACTTGCCTGTTCTGGAATCAGTATGCACATAGTATTACTTATGATGGAAGGTAAGAAGCGGGTAGTATCTTTCTTGTTGGGGAATCTTTGATTTAATAGCAGACTTGGGCCTTCACAGCCCAGGTCTCCCAGTGTGGCTAAAGGAGAGCTTCATGTTCATTGACAGTGACAAAAGCCTCACTGGCAATGTTATTGCCGACCTCTTGCTCCAGTTCAGAATATGTCATTCTGTCAATACCATCCACCTTGATTATACCAGGCTTTATATACAACGGGTTATGATCCCAGAGGGATGAAAAGCTTTTCCAAATTAAAAGCAGCATTTTAAAGAGGAAATACTCATACATTCCTATGTAGTTTTCATTTGATATCCTCAAGGCTAACCCCAGAACTCGAGTGTTTTTTTCTGAGTGCAGCCATCTTATGAATTTAATGGAAGAAGGGAAGTAATAAAATGTGCTCCATACTTTAATTAGTTCCCTCGTAACATGGCATTTCCAAAATGGCAGTGCCAAAGAAAATCATTAATCTAGGAGAACAGACGAAGGCACTGTATGGGGCAAGGGACAGACCTCCTAGAGATATACACTCCCCTTTTTCTTCTCTTGCTGGTAAATCTTACCTCAAAGAACAACTCCAGCTACACAAAAGGAATTTGTACCAATATTAAATATTAAGCCACTTTCCATTTCTTAAGCCTTGCTACAGAGTACCACAATTGAGAGATCACATATTGTATCCTGCAGGATAAATGTAAATGGCCTGTCTTTCCAAGCATTCACCCTGGGTACTCCAGGTGCCAGGCTTAAGCTGATACTACCATGCAATCATTTCAACATCTGCATTTCACTAGATGAGTAAGAAAACCTGTGTCAGATGTATGAAAGCAAACACAATTTGCTACAAAAGGCAGACACTTCCCAGCACACTTGCATTACACATTTCTCATGGGAGCAGCCTCTGGAACCAGTTGTGGCATCAGTTGTACCACAGGAAGGAAGTGAGGAAGCATCAGAAGGAAGCTCAAAAACACCTCTGACTCTCAGTCTCTTATTACCTCCTCCTGGCAATCAGGTAGGGCAAATGTGGAAGTTTATAACCACAGAGAGGAGCTCAGGGAAGAACTCCCGTGAGTAGAATGACTGCCAGAGAACAAAGCTCAGGTAACGGCACAGGAGTGGCCAAATGCAAACAAACAGCTGTTCCAGGAAGAAACAGCCTTGTTCAAAACTGACAAAGGGACTGGAGAAAGGACTGAGAGTGGTTTGACCTGTTTCTGTGGCACACCCCCTGCCCTGATCTGCAACAACCACACAGTCCCACAAGAGCCACAACTTTGCCCCTTCTTGGTTATAGAATAGAAATTGATACCTGTGTTCGGTTGAATGCTACTCTTGCAAAGACAGCTTGAGACACACTGGCTCTCTTCAGCTCATCTCTGACTTGCTGGTAAATATCTGGAGAGACTTCCACCGATGAATTTGATGGCTCTGGTTTGACAGCTCTAGGGATGGGTGGATGATTCAAGAACTGCTGGTTGATAGCCTGTGGGTGCTGGTGAGCCAACAGTCGGCTGACAGCAATCTGCTGGTTTATCAGATGGGCCATCGCTATCTGCTGCCTCACCAGTTGTGGACTGAGCTGAGGAGACAGGAGGCCAGGGTTTATCATTGTTTGCATCGTTGGCACTTGGTTTCGGATTGGAGTACTGTGGTGAATTTGGCCATGAGGAGACTGTTCATTAGATTTTCCCAAAGTTGCCAGCTGGTTGATATTTGGTAAGTGCATGGGACGTTGACCAAGAACACAATAGTCTGAAAGGTTTTCTCTTTCCACTCTTTCCACTGTTAAAAGAGAAAAATTAGCTTGCTGTCATTTCAGTTTGCACTTAGGGCAAGGACTATATTGCAGGTGACTGTACACAACAGCACCTGCTTTACTTTGTAAGTCTACACTTGCACAGAAGTATCATAGAAACACAAGCAAAAGAAACAGAAAGTAAAAGCAACAAGAATAATTAACATTCTTTTTGACTTCCCAGGCTTCACCCACAGCTCATGAAGATTCCTTATAAACCAGCAGCAAGTACACTCTCCAGCCTCCTTCACTAAAGAAACAAGCCTGGACACTTCCATTTACACTCTTACTAACATTGGAATCTGTCAAAGCAAATTGATTAACCTTTCAAAGTGGTCAGTGTTTCAGAATCACTGTCATCTAGGTAAAGGAAAGAAACCCAAATTGGTATCCACTCACACAAACCAAATGGAAACAAGGTCATTCCCTGCGCAGCTCATGGCACTGATTTTCATTACAAACTTGGCAGCTATTACCTTTTCCACATAAACTCTACCTTGCACTGTGTGTGGATAAAGCCATCTAGTACCATCAGCTCACCCAGGTGCACCACAGCAGACTCATGCTGGTTGTGTGAAAGCATGTTACAAAATAGTGAAATTCACAGATGAGAAAAGTTTAAAGGAAAGGTTCCTACAGCCAAAGTTTCATTGCCACAGCTCTGTCCAAAAACTTTAAAGCACTTATGCACAAATGCCCACTTGGAAGAAAGTGCCTTCACTCTCTTCAAAAAAACTTTGTTTAGCACAACACTGATCCTAAGTGACAACATGTTACAAAAAATTAAACTACACACAAAACGCGTATACAGTAATTTTACATACTGATCTGCATTGTCCCTGTTAAATATCTTACAGCTGCAATATCACAGTATCTTTTCAGGTAACTGCAAAACTAAATGCACATACTACAAAATTAAATTTTCTCTAAAAGTACCATTTGAAACAGGAAATGAAGTTTAGCAGGTGCATAGATATAACTCCTACCTCAATAAATTTAAGCAATCAGAAATCATTTTACAGCAGGTTGCAGATTCCATAAGCCTCCCTATATGCAAGTGAATAGGCATTTTTATATTGATCTGATATAGAAGTGTTTAGAAACATGTATCATAGAAAACCACTACTTCACCCCTGCACTGGTCTCAGCAAATAACAAGATAGGATTTAGTTCAGAATATTATAACTTGTGTAATGATTAACAACTGCACAAGGTTGTTTTTTTAAAAATATTCTTTTTAAAAACCTAGTCTATATAAAGCTTTGAAGTTTTCCACAGTTAATACTCAAAATGGCAGCTTACTGATGACCTGCTCTGTTTTCTTCTAAATAGAAAAAGCTCTTTCCACCTTCCAGAGTTAAGCTAAGACAGAGAGGGAATCATTCCCTGAACACATACAAACACACAGTTACTGTCTTTAGAACTGTCACTCCGGAACATCACAAGTACTGAATTTTACAACTAGGTGAATTAATACTCACGATTTCCTTGTATGAAATTTTAACTCACTCTTCCCATTCTTTAAAAGGAAAATCCCATAACATATTTAGCCTTCTATTAAATAATCACTTTAAAAGATTAAAAATAATTTATTTTTAAGAAAACTATTAATTCCACTTTTCCACAAAACCTAATGCTTCAACCCAACTGAATTTCTATTTAAGTGTTTATCTGTCTTTCAACTATGAAAGGCAATGCAAAATGTGTGATACACAAATATTATTGTCATCAAATGACCATTTTGCTGTGTTACTCACAGGCTGTCAGATACGTAACGCAGGTATTTCATCTTGCTGAAAATACTAAAAAATCCCTATTCAAAAGCTGCTCCTCATGATGTCAGTATGCCTCCCTGCAATGAGGTACAGAAAGCTCCATACCACTTCAGGAACAGACAGAAAATCAATGTGAAATATGCAACAGGAGTAGTGCTAATTCCAGGGATGGACCTGTCAGCAATACAGAGGTGTGGGCAGGGGAGTGAGGAGGGGCTGCTTTATCACAGCCTCAGACCACGTTCTGCAATACAGATGATTCAGAGCCAACATGGCCATACTATCACCTCCTCACCAAGCCTGCACCTGAGTAATGCCATTAAATACACACAGGTGGTAGCCAAATGCAATTATTCCAAAGGTACAATAGCCACTTGGCAGGTGTAAGTAGAATGAAGCTGTTGCTCATTGCAATGAAATACTTGGAGCATCCTGCTATATCACTGACAACCCTAAAAATCTAGAGTTCTTCCGCTAGGAGTTTCAGAAGAGCTGAAAAAGTTCTGAACTATTTGTAGTTTGAGGAGCACACAGAGAATAAGTCACTGAAACCAACAAATTATTACTTGTTAGAACATAAAAACAGAAACCAAGTGTTTTTGAAAACTTGGTGAGAAATAAATATAAATAACATTCACTTTCTGGGCTCAACCACATTTGCCAAGTTTCCACCCACTCTTGACTTCAATGCCAAGTTATAAACCCCTATAAAAATAAAGTTTAAGATGAAAAGGCTGCCAGGCTGTTAATCTCTGCAGTGCTACTTGGAATTACACAGAAACATCACCTGACTTGCTTCCATAGGTATATTTTTCCCTTATTATCAGTTTCCTTTTTTGATCACATTAGACTATACAGCCCTGCATGTACTCCCTATAAACAAACCAGATTCTAGTCACTTTGACCACTTTAGTAATAAAAGGTTACCATTAGCAGTTACACTGGATGGAAAAAATGTGCATTACTCAACTCCTCAAGACTCTCCTTCTCTAACACATTGCCCGTATCTGATTCCCTGTTGTTCTTTGGTAACCATGGACTGGTTACCAAAGCTGCAGGGCTGAACAGGAGCAAGACTGAGACAGCCCTGAGATGGAGACTGGCACTGTCCTGAAAGACAAGACAGCTTCCCAGCAATGTTCTAAGAAAAAAGGGATACAGGAGCCACCAGCATTCTGCCTCAAATCCTCCTGAGACAGGACTTTTAGCTTTGCATCCTCCATCTTCCATGTTCACACCTGATTACGGTCTTTCCTCTGTTCACTATTATTCTACTCAAACTGAAGATACGTTCAGAGCTCTTGTAGTCTGTACTGACTGGAATGTAAAGTTGTACTGACTGGAATAGAAGTATCTGAGGACAGAGCAGCAGGACCTTACACTGGGAAGGAAGGGTTCCATGGATACGTGCTGTCAACATTCAAGTACTGCTGGTAAACTACTTTTGCTAGCAATGCCTGTGGAAGATAAATAAAAGCTGGTTCAGGAGGCTGTTACCTACCTCCATCTGTGGTGTGACCACAGCAAAAGACATTGCAGTGTTTTCGTTTTCTCTCTGCATCGCTCACTTGGTATACAATTCTGCAGTTCTTTGCTTGAAGAGCTCATCTAAACCGAACACAACAGCACTGCCATACTGCAGAGCCATCCACCCTTCTGAAGCCAATCACTGGGTAGGCAGAGACTTGTGGCTAGACAACAGGTACTGTGCTAAGCTCAGCAATTAGCCCTGACAGCACACTAGAATAGCATCTGCCCTTAATTTTTCTATACCTCCCTAACATGTCACTACCTCTACAAGAGTCAGAAACCAACATAATCCCCAGAATGGGAGCAGCAAATTATTGAATTTGAATATTCCGTTCTCATCCTATAATGATTACCATGTGTGTCAATGTATTTCAACTCCATACTGAGTTAAAACTTCCTGGATACGGCACAGAAAGAATTCACTGCACCCTTCCCCTGTGTGATGCTCTTAACCTCTAGCCCAATCTTCTTTGCACAGTCAAGCAGCTGACGCAGACCACAGCACAATAGCTTGGGGTGGTCTGCATGCAACTTTCCATTTAAAATAAAACCAGCTCAAAAGATTTAAAATAAGATTTATTTCTCCACCTTCTCTTCCCCTCACACTTTATTGCACTGAGTTGTTAATAGGAACATTCTGACAAACAGCCCGTGGGGCATTTAGGGCTCATGCATGGCACTGAATTGACTGACAGCACTGGAAACCAAATTCCTATGCACAATAAGGGATGCAGCAGGAAGAGCAAGAGTGTAACACGTCTCCCAGCACTGCACCACAAGTGGGGACACAGAGGACCCGCCAGCATCCATGACCCAGCGTGTCCGGAACTTTTCAGTCCCACAGGCACACAGGCACTTTGCCCCAGAGTAAGAAGAAGCTGGTAAAGAAACGTTTTGTAATAAGTTACTAGCCGGCAGAATTGCCATGCTTCAATTGTGACAGGATGTCACCACCCAGGGCTGTTCTCCAGTGCTTCAGTTTGCTTCTTTGTTTTATTTATTATTTAAAACCTGGTGATCATAAAAGCCATTTCTAGCAGTGGTCATGGCCAAGTCGGGAGAGCTCTGTGAACTCTGGTATACCCTGCACTAAGCTTGAGACAGAAAGATTCCCACAATTTCTCCTGGCTTAGCACCATCCTGCTCACTGGAGCAAGACTTGAACTTTGGAACCATGCTTGGGGGACAAAGCACAGCACCAGCTCCACCTTGGAGAGGCTGCTGCACTACACCCAGAGGGTGCCCTCCTGCTTACGCTACAGAATTACAAACCACCACGTTGTAAATAACAGAACCACTCCAGAGCACAGGAGGTGCTTTTAAAGTGCAAATTCCCTATCTTTTTATCTGTAATTGGGAAAATTACTTATTTCTTTTAATTACAGGCCACTTAACCACTTCAGTGCAAAAGGCTGGTCTGAGGAGTCTCATTTTCATTCAATATCTAATCTTTGTATTTATCCATAGTAATTTACTGGCTTCAGTGCCTGATAGCACTGAGTGCCTAGGCCACTTGCTCCAGCACTCAGCACTGGAGGAAAAGCAGGTTGACCAGAGAGGCAGACATGACATGAAGCTGTAACTTTTAAAACCTTTCCCTTACCCTACTCCTGCAGGACCAGCACAGAACTTCAAAATAGCTATAGAGCACATACAGAAATTGTTTGGCTGCTGGCTGTGGG